TCCAGCAGTCACTGTCTTATCTTTTTTGTTCTATTGAATATTTTGGCTGGTGGTTAAAAGTCTTACCCAAATAAAAGGCTGACACTGTTGGTAGCTATGAGGGACACCCAAGGCGTGCCACTCATATTGCCATCTCGTCTTATCTGCAGTCTGTAATTTCTTCAGTTGGCTCCTTCCACTGTTTTTCTAATATTTCTGTCAACTACTTTTTGCTTATGGTTTTCGTTAGACCAGATGAGGTATGTCATACTTCTTTTGTTGAGGATGCAACATGACCATCGTGTGATGGCACAAGCCAGCAGTATGAAGCCTGTATGGTTGTATGGGAGACCACAAAAGGGCCTCATGAATCTGCTTCCCAATTTCTTCCCCTCCCGAAGAGCTATTAGCACAGGTTAAATTGGAGCTGGGTGAACTTTGTACCTAGGTTCTCTCCATGGACAGAACCCAAGATGTATGTCTTACTTTATCTCTGAATGAGCCAGTAATATCCATATAAACATTCCGAGAAATTTCATTGGTTGAAAACATCATCTTGCTCTAGTACGTTCTATCTGAAATTCCCCTCTGTGGGGCTTAATAAATGTTTATGTTTTTGTCCCATGCTAAGCCTGTTAAAATGGTGCAAGACTTACAACATGGACTTCATGGAAGTTGCAGTAACAGTAATGTGTGCTAACATTGTAATTTATGATAGAATATAGTGTAAAGCTAAACTGTTGCTAATTTTTCATATGTAATTCATAGCATCAGAGTCCAAACCTCTTAGGATCTGGTTTTCATTCATTCATTCATTCATTCATTCATTCATTCATTCATTCATTCATTCATTCATTCATTCATTCATTCATTCATTCATTCATTTATTTAACTTATATGCCGCCCACACTATTGTATTTAGTACATTTAACCTGACAGTACAACGTTATTCATAATCAAATGCTATTTTTTTCGTGATCCTGCCAGAAATTTTAGTGACAGCAATAATATTCAACACTGTGATGGTTCACAACCATGCTATCTGTAATGCGACTCCATTATACATCAGAGAAGACTATGAAGAATCTCTTTTTATTGAAATATAATGTTCATAATGTTACTTTAAAAACTGCTGTATTTCATGTAACATATTCTAATAGGCATTTGCATACAGGGTTTTTAAGAGATAGTTGTGTTAGTCTATTGCAGGATAAGGAACAGTGTCTTAGACTACCAAGTTTTGGCATAAATAAAATTCAGTGGACTACTGTCCATTGATGCATGTAATGAAGTGGGCTGCAGTCTGGAAAAGCTTATAGAAAGTGTGCAGTGTGTGTGCAATGTTTGTCTTTATGTGGGAGAATGACATGGCATATACATGCAGCAAGTGCAAACTGGTTGCAAGGTTGGAAATAAAAGTGAAAGAACAGGAGCGGCAAGTGGCCATGCTTAAGGCTATAAGAGAAGATGAAGAGCACATAGACTCTGGAGCAGCAATAGCCTAGGAAGGTGGAAGAATAGCAAAACAAGTCAGAGGAGGAAAATGCTGAGGAGAGAATAAACATAGAGTAGGAAGCACACCATGGAAAAGAGTCACAGTTGGGAGCAAAGGAAGAAGACATTCTTCAACAGTGGAACTGCAGCACCACATTCAGATTCTTGAAGAGGGGTCTGGCAGACAGCATGCAGAGGAAGACATGCAGGAAACCCTGGGCAGGACATGACAGCCGGTGAAGCTCAGCCAAGCAGTCACTGAATCCATACCCTACAAAAAGAGGAAGAAAAGAGTAGTTGTAGTTGGAGACTCCCTACTGTGTGGGATTGAAACTGAAATATGCTGGGAAGACCCACAAACCCACCAGGTATGCTGTCTCCCTGGAGGGTGAATTAGGGATGTGATGGAAGAATTGCCATTGCTCATAAAACCTTCAGATGCATGTCCCTCTCTTCTCATTCATGTGGGAACAAATGACACAACCAAGAGGAACTACAAAGGAAACTCAAAGACTTTGGGGCTCAGATAGTCTTCTTGTACATCCTATTAGTACTCTGAAGAGGAATAGAAAGGGGAAGAAAAATACTCCAAGCAAACGACTAGCTATGATGGTGATGCCAATGTGAAGGATTTGGATTTGGAGATCATGGGCTAAGCTTCCTGAAAGATGGACTGCTGGCAAGTGATGGGTTGCACCTCATAAAGACTGGGAAGATTGTGTTTGGCATCAACATGAAGAACTTCATCAGGAAGGCTTTAAACTGAATTAGAAGAGGGAGGGAGACATTTATCTTTACTCAGAGGTAACGAGAGATAAAGGCTTTTGCACAAAAAAGAGGAACAGAGCAAGTAGCTCTGATAGGGCTCAATAACAGTCTTCATAAAAATGTAAGAAGGAAAGCAGACCAATTACATAATCTCCAATGTCTATATACAAACAGATGGAGTATAGGAAACAAACAAGAAAAAAATGGAAATCTTAGTTCAGAAGGATAAATAGGGCTTGGTAGGGATATCTGAAACTTGGTAGGCTAAGTCCCATGGCTGCAATCCAGCAACTGAAGAGTATAAATTGTTTAAAAAGAACCAAAAGAGTAAAATGTGATGTAGAATTGTAGTATATGTCAAAAACAGATATTACTGCACAGAAATACTGGAAGATGAGCTTGGTTGTCCCATCCAAAACACTGTATTAATATAATTAATGTGAAAAACAAAAGGAAAGTAGTAATTGACATCTACTTTCAGTTTGTTTTCCAAAGGATTCATCCACACAATCAAGAAGAAGAATCCTATTGAAAACAAACTGAAACAATTTTAAAGAGAAACAATGTAGTACTAATGAGATATTTCAATTATCTTGATATCTGTTGAGAGGCAAACTGACAAATATGTGCCTTCCAAGAAATTCCTGGTTTATGCGGCTGATAATTTTCTTCTTCCCAAAATCAAGGAAGAAACTAGAGGATTAGCTAGCCTTGACTTGATTCTAACCAATAAAGGCTTGGTAGAAGAGTTGTCAGTAAGAGGAACTCTGGAAGAAAGTGACCATGCCCTACTTAAGTTATTGATTTCAAAGGAAGTAGAAGAGGAGTGTAGACTAGATTTTAGGAAAGCCAATTTTAATAAAATCAGAACATTGATATGTAAGATCCTGTGGCAAGAAATCCTAAAAGAAAAATAAATCCAATACAGGTGGGAGTTTCTTAAAAAGAAAATTCTAAAGGCACAACTACAAACAATACAAAAAAAAGCAGAACAGGAAAAAAAGACTCAGATTATTTCACAAAAAGCTGAGAGATAACCTGAAAATTCAAAAAGGGACATGGAGGGAAGACCAGGTCACAAATGAAGAACATAGACAAGTAGCAAAGAATTGCAGGGATGGCCTTAGGAAAGCAAAAGCTGAGAATGAGCTGAGGTTAGCAAGAAATGCTAAAAGCAACCAAAAAAAGTATTCTTCAAGTACATGTGTAGCAAAAGAGAGAGAAAGGTACTAGAGGTGCAGCTACTCAATGGGTGGAAAAATGATAATAGACAACAAGGAAAGACAGAAGTACTGGTAGAAGAACTCTCAGAACCACTGTCTTATTTTCTGGAAATCATGGAGAATGGATGAAGTGCCAGATGATTGGAGGAGGGCGAATGTTGTGCCTATCCTTAAAAAGGGCAAACAGGAGAAACCTGGGAACTACATACAGTAGCAGTCAGCTTGACATGGTTCCAAGGCAAATTTTTAGAGCAGATTATAAAGCAGTCACCATGCAAGCACCCTGAAAACAATGCAGTAACAACCAGAGGCCAATGCTGATTTGTCAAGAACAAATTTTGACAGACTAATCTTATCTCATTTATTGATCAGATACATCCCTATAGGTGTAATATATCTTGACTTCAGCAAAGGTCTCATTTATTGATCAGATACATCCCTGTAGAATGTTGTAGGTGTAATATATCTTGACTTCAGCAAAGCTTTTGACAAAGTGCCCCATGATATACTGATTAATTAGCAATTTGTGTTCTGGATAGGACTATCAGGCAGATACATATTCTGTTAAAGAATCATAAAGAGTGCATATCAGTGGCTCCTTCTCAGATAAGGAGGAGGTAACAAGTGAGTCACCACAAGGCTCAATCCTGGGCCTGTTGTTCTTCAACATTTTTATTAATGACTTGGATGAGAGGGTGCAGGGAATGCTGGTCAAATTGCAGATGACACCAAATTGGGTGGAATAGCTAATATCCTGAAAAACAAGCAAAATTTGAAAATTAATCTTGATACACCATACCTTAAGAAGGATGCCAACAAACTGAAGCAAGTTCAGAAGTGGGCAAAAAGGATAATCACAACCAACCCTTCTGAGGAAACACTGAAGGAACAGGGCATGTTTAGCCTTGAGAAAGGAGGACTGAGGGGAGATATGATCGCTCTTTTCTAATACTGTACTTGAAAGATTGTAGTGCAGAGGAGGCTCAGAATCTTTTTTCAATTGCCACAGAGTGCAGGACATGTAATAATGGACTCAAGCTACAGGAAGCCAGATTTCAGTTGAATATCAGGAAAAGCTTCTTAACTGTTAGAGCAGTATGACAGTGGAATCAATTACCTCAAGAGAAGGCTAGAGGCATTCAAGAGAAAATTAGACAACAATCTATCACATATACTTTTATGAAATGCTTCCCATGAAAAATAAAGCATTAGCGCAAACACTTCCAGGGTTACAGAGATACCAAAAGGTGAGGCGATGATGAGAAAGAGCTGGGCTGGGAATTCTGCTCCAATAGAGATTATAATGGTAGCAGAACATCTGTGGGTTTGGCAATACTATTTCTTTTTCAAGACAAGCTTTTTGGGTTGTCAAAAATCATAATCACATCCTGAACATTACACATCTCTTGGTCAGGCAGTATTTGTGGGAAAGGAACTGCATTCATAATGCACCATAATAATCTAATATTGAAATATGTCCATTGTCACCAATTTGTTAATACCCACAGTCTTTTCTTTTCTTTTTGTGTTTTTAAGGCTAAACGGATGGTGGGGTCATGAATACAAAACCAGGTTTCACATGGAAAACAGTATGTATATTTGCTATTTAATTTTACATAAGGATATATTGTATGTTTCTTTGTGGCAACATAGTTTATAAAGAAGTTGCTGCAAATTTGTAATAAATTGTTTTTTCATCACAGGCAAGGATTTATATCCCAGTCTTGGGAATAGACAACAACTAAAAGTTTATCAAGCTCAAATACCCATTAGTTCTTTAGAGGGGGCATATCTTCACCCTCTGTTATTTAATGGCTAGAGATTTAGAATGGTTTTGGCAGGAACTAAATATTGGATTATATTTAAGATACTACTCTGTTTCTCCAAAAATAAGAACTAACCTGAAAATAAGTCCTAGTATGATTTTTCAGGATGCTCATAATATAAGCCCTACCCCCAAAATAAGCCCCAGTGAAATGAAACCCCACCCTCCACCATTGTGCAGCAACCAGAAGAAGATCACTGTCAAAAATAGAAAGGTCAAGAACGAGAAAGGTCTGATGTGTCTATTCATGCAGAGAATGTGTCGAGAAAATTAAAGATAATTTTTACACATCTCATCACAGATCGCAATGAGAAAAATATTCCACCAAAATACACAGAAGTTAAGGATCTAATACTACATACATATGTATCTTACAGAATTGCAACTTATTCCTGGAATCAATGGATTTCGATTATCAAATCCTCCTATTTTATTAGTGTGTGCTCTTCATGCTAGCTTAGAGGTGAGTAATTACTTCCTGATGGGAGATGAAGTAGAGACATATGATACAACATGTATATTATTAACCAACATTATTTTTATGTGGTAGTACAAAATGAATTTTCATATGGAGGCACATGCACTATGCAGATAATCATTGTTCACAGTGATGCTTTGAAAGTATTGGTGATATTAACATGTTTTAGATCCTACTGATTCAAACACTAAAATGTTGTTCATGTCCCTCTCACATTTGCTTATTTGCTACTGCTGCCATGTCTTCTCATTCATAAGGGAAATAAAATGCTTCCTATTGGATGCCTGAAATTAAAAGAAATTGTGCGTCTTCTATCTGAGACTCATACCTGTTGAGTACCCTGTTTGAAGGAGATGTCAGTTGCCACAACTTGACAATGTACTAGAGATAGACACTGATACTAAAAGAAAGCTGGACGTTTTTCTAGCATCTTTCTTTGTATTTAATCCATCTTCAGCCCAACATTACTTGTTATGGGAAAACAGCATCTAGATACTAATTGTAGGTTTTGTATTTGCAAGAGATCAAGAAGGCAGTAAGGCCAAATAGGTATGCAAAGTCTTCCAAATGTCTTTTTCTATGAAAATGGGAGTCGATGGGTAAGTCTGTGGGCTGTTTGAAAATTTCAAGATATAGAGGTTGGAGGGATTTCCATGTCCGGGGAGACGACTGAAAAAATGGAGCCAGACATTTCTAACAGCTCTTTAAAATATTGGTATAATACCCATTATAAGGCCTTAAATAGTGAGGAGATGCACTTTTAGCTCAACCATAGGTGGCCCTGTTCTTAAAACACTATTTTAATTATCTAGCCTCTGTTTTTGCTTAACATCACAAAATGCTGAAATGATGACCTACAGGAAAACTTGCACTATTTTATACTCTACTATGCACTTGGTGCCAAGCCATTGAGTCACTCCCCTCCCCAGCTAGGTATAATGTCTGCAAAATAATACCAATTGGGATGATAAGATTCCAAGGTCATTCCTCTACATTTAAAGTTACCTTTCTATTTTGATTGTACAGTGACAATCAAAAGACCAGAGGCATGCTGAGAAAGGCCAGACATCATGACAACAGTTGCTTGCTCCTAGGGTTGCATCTGTTTGTGTACCATAATGTAAAATCAGACATCTTTACTGCATTTTTACTTAATTATATCAGTGAGTGCATGGGAGAATAGAACAGAGTGTCACTCTGAGATCTGTAGTATTCTTACAGTAAATGTTTGAAGTAAACCAAAAGACAAGCAGGGGAATTCAATGTTAAATCCTAAGCAGAATCCCCTACTTTCCCAAAACACTGGAAGACAATTTAAGGAAAATATTAGAATACAACTGCAGAAAATCATGTATCTTTGGAAAATGTTTACATGATCAAGGATATCATGCTTTCTATCAAGTTTCCATATGATACATAAGTCTCCATCTCTTCAAAGATTTGAAGCATATGGTGACCTTTCAACTATAGGTAATGTTCAAACATGGTTTGTTTGTTTTTGTTTTTTGATCCCTTCTTGTCTGGGTTCAGAGCAACATTTTGGCTGATAGTAGTAGTAATTGTTGTTCACAGATGTGTGAAAATGGTCCATATTGTGCATGTCCAGGGCACCTCTTGGGCAGAGCAAGGAGCCATTGTTCTGCTCCTGGACTCCAGAACATCTCCTCCATACCCCCTTGCCTTTGCTATGATTAAAATGTTAGTCAGCAATTTGAACTGAGGAAAGGCAAAGTCGAAAATCATATAACAGACTGAGCTGCTGATGCCAAGGGACAAACGTGCTAACAGAATGCCTCCCCCATATGGATACTACAATCTCTGAGGCATTAGGGGAGGGCTCCGACTGAGGTCACTGCACAATATACTATATATTTCCCCTTACAGCTGGTCTGCCAGCTCGTTCACGGAGCTGTAAGTAGAAGAGATTGGTGTATGTCCCATATTTAGATAGGAAATAATTTTCTACATGCCATTAACAGTCTCTTCCCACAATCAGAGAAGAGTCAGTAATTTTGGTCTGTATCTTTCTCCCATCATATTCAATTCTATGCTGAAACAATCAAAGGGGCACAAGAGTAATTTTTTTCTTTTCATTTTTATCTTCTCTGTGGCAATTAATTTTGTTTTTCCTTAAAACATGTTTTGTATGTTTGTGAACTTTATGTGACCTTAGAGACGTTATTCTGTTCTGACCCAGATGTTGCTGTTCAAAAGAGCAAGAGGGATCTGCCATTTAGCCCACTGCAGGGGGTCAAAGACAATGAGAACTCATCAGTTTCTATGGACTTGCCTTTTTGTGCCTGCATTACTCTTCTGGCACAGTCAGGATCCCCTTGCACTAATTGCTGTGATACAGTGCAATAGAATTCGTTCCTGGCCAAAAAAAACAAACAAACAAAACCTTACACAATTTCTATGCCATTGCGCATTGGAATGCATTAAACAGAGAATGTGATTTCCAAAAAAAAATGCTAAACAGTGTGAAACTTAGTGCACAACAAGAATAATCTCTTTCCTTTTATTGGGAAAGCATTTTGTTGTAGGAACTCTTTTTCTTGATGGCATATAATTTCTCTCCAAAATTTAAAATGAACAAGCTTCCTAAGAGCATTTCCCAATGTTTTCAGTATTTTTGCAAACATCTGCTTAGCTTTAAGTGTAGCATGGAGATAAGTAGTATTTTAATGGCTCCATGTCCCAATACTGTTGAGCTTGTGCAGTTCCTGTTGTCAGTACACTATCCAAGCAGAATGGACCACAATATCTAGTAACAATGGGGAGAACACTGTGAAGTCTGATTGTGTATAGCAAGCAACTACAGACGTAGGCTACCTCTGTCCTTTTTTGGGCAGTCTAGTCTTGCTTGGAACCACAGAAAAGCAGAGAACCGTACTCAGAAGATAACTTGACCAAGAATATTTCAGATGAAAACAGTTAGTGTTTCTTCTTTCAGCTGCTTCTCAGAGTCTCTTTTGCCCTAGTGCTGGGTGCTGTTATACTTTGAGGTGGTAGTG